GAAAATATTCTTACCATTGCACGAATAGAAACATTCATTATTTGTTTTATATAATACCAAAATAGACTAATATTAAAAGGTTTACTGTAAGCTCCCGCCATTTTGATGAGTCGTATTTGCATTAAATCCCATTTACTGAGTTTCGAATATCGGGTTAAAATAAACTGCGATCACCGTACGAGAAGCATTTTGACGGATGCGATTTATCGAAAGCACAAAGAGTGCAATGGAATAAAACGTATAGTACAATTGCACTCGCAAGAGTGCAATGGAACGTATTCCATTGCACTCTTGGGAAATAGAATTTTCTATTCAATATCACGTGACCATAAACAGCCAATTAAACGATCAGAATTCAATAAGGTATTATATAAAAGAAAATATCGAGCACTACATTTTTTATTGTGCTCACGAAATAAAAGAAATCGTGCAATATCCGTGAACGAAAAAAAGATCGAGCGGCATTAAGAGATTAAAAAAAATGATAATGAAAGTCTATCCAGTCTCCCCTCCCCCCCCCCAAAAAAAATATCGGATAGTTCACCTTTATAATTTTTAAATATACTTCTTATATTGCTCACCTATCTCAGGATCATTTCGCCAATAAATCAGATATGTACAGAACACTAATCGCAACAAAACACGCAAAAAATAAACGCAGATATGAAACATCGACGAAATATATTTAGTTTCTATATTATGTACAATAAAATCAAAGTTTGTATAATATAAATCCAATTAGTACAACTATCAAAAACGAAGAATTAAATGCAGATGTAGAATGTATATAATACATAAATCCAACCGGCATTACATATCATATTATCTACAATAGCGTAGCGATAAAATTGATTTTGTTGTACATGATTGTTGCCAACTGGGAAGTCCGTATCCACGAATATGTTCTATTGCCATGCCTGTCTGAGTGTACATACGTACTGAACAATATACGATGTTCGTTTTATTCAAAGTTTAAAGTTTTCCTATACTAATATAATACAATCCCTAGTGACATTTCAAGGCTCAAAGTACTAGCCTCACCCTCCGCCCCCTTCCGGTTCTTGTTCACCCTCATACTAAGCTAAGCTAAATTATGAAAACAAGGAAAATAATATGGATAGTTTTAATTACATGATTTTTACTTTATTTGGTAACTACGTCGGTGTTTATTTCGGCTTGTACTTGCTTCCTCCATTATTTATCCAGCTAGCAGCTGCTTGTCATTGTATTGCTCACTTGCGTTGTTTCTTTTTCAGCTAAACACACAGAGTTTGTCATTTCAGTTGGTCGACTTTGCGTAATAGTTAGTTCAGGAACGATTCTCCTCTTTGCCCTTGGAAAACCAAGTGTATGACGAAATCTCTCAATACTGCTATCACTACTAATTTTATTTGACATCTGAAGATGCCAGAAATAAATAAGTGGGTTAAGACTAAAACCCAAAACTTCTATAACGACCCAGTACGAGTTAACATCGTGCAAAATTTTCATACATTTTATTTTTTTACCAGAGAGAGCCATTATTTGCATGGTCTGTAAAATAATAACGTTTGGTAGGACACCAATAACGAGCATTGCTGTAACACAACATACAACCATTGATAGTTTGGCTTCTTTCTTTAAATTAAAAGTTAAACGACGTTCATTTGCCGCAAAAATGCCCTCCTTATCTTTTACTCTGTAGCTCCGGAACGACGAGTAAATTTTTAAATAAAGAACGATTATCATGATGATCATAATTTCTGACAAACATGTAATAATGAGCATGGTAACACGACTGTAATAATGCAGGAATAGCGCGAAAACGAGAGCCACTAACCAGATTCCAGTTATTATCAACTTATAAAACCATTGATGATTTTTCATTCTGGAGTGAGACCATACAGAATGAACAACAGCTATGTATCTTTGCAGAGCGATACCCAGGAGAGTTAGGAACGAGGCCAATACTGTAGACCAGGATATGATTCCGATGATTCTACGGAACAGTTTGCAGGTAATCAGTCTTCGGAAGCCAAGCACGAGAGCTACGAGCGCTGTGGCCAAGTCTGCTGCCGCTAGGTTACAGATAAATATTGAACAAGACTTAGGAAGATTTTTTCTGCCAAAAATTAGTAGAAGTCCATTGAGAAGTACCCCAAGTAAAGCAACAAACATAAGGAATATATCTGGAACTTGTAGGGAATGTTTTCTAGTTTCAGTCACATGAGTCGTGTTATTTCCTGCATTACCGCACATCATGATTAACCCTAAGAAGAGAAAAAATGTCTCAAAATTATACAAGTGCGAGCCTGGCAATTTTCGATATTTTCCGGAACATTTCATCACTGATATTTTTCCTACCTTTTAAATAGTTCAGTTCTTGTTTAATTTTAAGAGCAATGCTTTGGCACCTTTGCATCAGACTGATCAGTGACTCAATGATGACTTAGCAGCTGTAATCGCAAATTTTGTGAGGAAATGACATCATGCATTCATCCTGTTCTTAAATTAGAAACGTGTTGCTTAATTAATTACCATATAGTCAAACAACAACATTGTAACAGAGAGGATCTTCCATGAGAACTGGCCAGAGGCCGCGGAACAGGGGATGGGGTCTTGTCCCCCCCCCCCACACACACACACACACTGAGATACGCACTATCTGAGAGACTGTGTTTTGTTTCAAGACTATACGATGTATCAATAGTATAGGTGGAAACTCTTAATTCTCCTCATCTTTAATGCTCATAATAACAGTATACGTAAGAAGGAGTTACTGTATATCTTCCACACGTAAGAAGGAGTTACTGTATATCTACTTTTCGGGGACTTGACCCAGGTCCTCACAAAATCTTGAGTCCCCGTAATGTCTGTGTAAAAACTGACCGCGGTCCTTATAATGTATGATACACACATGCATACACACACACACATACACACACACATACACACATAACACACTTTTTTAAAAATTGAAAAAGTGCCCTTTTTCCTGGGCTAAAGTGCCCCATTTAAAGAACGAAAAAACTATTTCTTGAATGAACGCCCTCTTTCGCTGGAAATAAAGTGCCCTTTTTGCAGCAGTAAAGACTCTGTAATGGCCATTTCCGACGTTACAGAGACTCCATATTTTCAAACATTTTCGGCTCGTGAACCACATAAAATCGTTTGGTTTTGGTCATATCCCTTTGGGCCAATGCTCCTTCACTTTCGAAATGCTTCCGCGGCCTCTGGAGCTGGCCGTATGTCCTTGGCATCTGAATTGAACTGTTTGGTACTTTCTTATATCCTACTGACAAACTGATAAACAAGAACACAAGCACAAGTAAACCGAGTTGAAAACATTATTTCCTGAGTAAGGTAAATATTTCACTAGTAATTTGGGCTCGAACTTGCCATGCATAGGCCTCCCATTCCCAAATACCAGTGGCGGCGCCAGGCTTCCAAATTTGGGGGGGCATTTGAGGGGCAAACTCAAATTTTGGGGGGGCAAGATAGAATTTTTAAAAAGGTCGCCCCCCCCCCAGGAAATTCGCCCCCCCCTCAAAACGTGGCGATATTCCTAGGAATATTGCCCCCGGGGGGCGAATATCCTAGGAATATCGCCTCCCAGTGGGTGGGGCGAATACCCTAGGAATATCGCCCCTCTTCAGGACATTCGCCCCCCATATATGCGATGTGGTTTATTCAAATGATTTCGTGATACTTTCATCTTATTATTTCCTTACACGTTTGAGAATTTAACTCTGCAAAACTAAAGCTTTTTTGTCTTTTTTTGAAACGTATTATTGGAGTATTGGCAAGTTTTACCATTCAGAGATTTACAAACTAATATTGAAACTGTAAAAAACAGTTTCATCATACGCGCATTCACTAATATGAGTAATGACAACTTATAAGCCATACATTTTCCGATAACGACAGAACGCTTGTGTAGCCTTTAGTCGCTCTTAGTGACTAATAATTTTTTTTGAGGGGGGGTGGCAAAATGGGGGGCAAAAAATAATTTGGGGGGGGCATTTGCCCCCCCCTTGCCCCCCCCCCTGGCGCCGCCACTGCCAAATACATATTAATAACTTACTGACCTCAACCGCTCGGGCAGTAGTAGTACGTACGGGAAAATATCCAACCGAGGTCTTGCTGTATTGACCGAGGCCGCTGCCCGAACGGTTGGGGTCAGTAAATTTTTTATCTTATGGCATTGTACGTTTGTAAAAAATGGGGGGAAAAGGTCACGCGATGGCAAAGTACAAAGTCCGAAACATTTGCAAAAAAAACAATTGTAAAAAATGTTTTCTTGGTTAGTAAAACTACTCTACAGCACCTTTTATATAGAATACTAACACAGTTTGGATAGTATCTCAAGAAAAATACGAGGCATTTCGTCATTTAATCAAACACAACAAATATGAAAACAATAAAATTATTAATTCATTTCTGTTCAATAAAATCATACTACTACTCATTCCCCGACTGGGGACTGAGTAGTAGTATGATTTTATTGAACAGAAATGAATTAATACCACTGATTGTTGGGCTACTTATGGTCGCAGGGCAATAAAAATTGCGTATTGCCCGTCAGCCCGTGGGCAATACCAAAGCAATACGGGAGAATCCTGCCTCGTCAGCAGCCAATCAAATTGCGCAATTCATCAAAACAAATGCTTGCCATATAATAAAGTTCATTACTTTACCTTTCTTATTCCATTGGCAAATTTGACGTCTGGACAATTGAACAGAAGTATTAATATTCACTAACATCAGTTTCTCGAAGCTTGCAATATAGAGGTTCAGATTTGACTACCATTACCGGAGAGGTAGCGGAGTCAGATCTGGACCTCCAATCGGATCGGATTTGGTTACTTGTTTTTATCGCAATAATATATAAGAAAGAAAGGTGTCATTCGACACCTAAAAAACCCGCATAAAGGCCGCATTTCAGCCCTTTTAATTGAAAAAACTAACTAGGAAAATCAATTATGCATAATTCAAAATCAGTAAATTCAATGTTTTTAGTTTTTTCAATTAAAAGGGCTGAAATGCGCTTAAAAACGGTCATTCAAAAGGCTGAACTGTCCTTTAAAATATCATTAATAATTCATTCATGAAGAAAATTCAAAAGAAATGAATGTTCAATGTTTGTAAATCGAATAAAGATTTGTCCTGATTTACATATTAAACTTCAGCTTTGATTTTTTCCGCATAGACAATGTTTATTTTTAAAATTACTTCGCCAATGAACTCATAAGATGGGTCGTTTTTTAAGTACGTTAATTAAAACATTCGCATCCGATCTTTATCTGATATACAAACTCTCGGCTTCAGCTCGAGTTTGTATTACCGAAATCAGTAGAGCAGTGCTTCCATTTTTAAAATCAAAATTTCTCATTTTTGTCAACAAAATTTCTCTAAATTCCTTAGATTGTATATGTTATTTCCTTGAAAATTCCTTGAAATTTCATGAAGCAGTTTGCAGTGATTTTGCAGCAATACAAAGGATTTAATTAATTTTCAAGGCACAAAATAGCACAATTAACAAAGATATGGGCTAGCTAAAAACCACAGGCTATTATACTGTTTAAAATTAAATATTTGTTATGAATTTACAAGAGATACCTTTACATTGATATGATTAATTAACTATTCACAACGTTTGGCGCCAAAAGTTACTAAATCCCATCGCTTAAAAACTTTCCGAAATTTTCGGAAACACGAGGAAAAAGTTAAAAACAGATTTTTAATTAAAGATAATTGATAATTCACTCAAAAATTTAAAAAAATGGAAACCTTCTTCTGCACTAATGCGCTTGGGTGAATATTTAAGTTTTTCTCAGAAAAAATCCTTAGATTTCCTTAGATTTTTTCTCTTCCTTAGATTTTCCTTTTCGACAGTAGAATTTCCTTAGAAAAGGAAATTTCCTTGAAAATGGAAGCACTGCAGTAGAGTGTCTTTTTCGGAAGTTGAAAAGATAGTCAGAAGCCAGTAGAAACGTTCATGTTTTATGACGTCACGGTGAAGGAATGCAGCATAGAACTTGTATGTTATTTTACTTACTTAGTAACTTTATTTAGTTTGACAAAGTGACAATGGCTCGCCAAACACAAAACAAGCTTTTGAACAAAGGGAAACTAGGTGAGGCGGTTTTTCGGTAAACCGAAAAAAAAACGATGTTTTTTTTAAAACCGAATTACTCGATGACGATGTTTATACTTTTGGAGAAAAACCGGAAAACCGAAAAGACCGGGGGAAAACCAAAATCGAAACATACTTATACGAGTTCCTTGCAAATGAATCAAGTTTTGGCATTTACACACGAAAACTAAAGAGATTTTGTTTGAAATTTGATGACATCTTCAAAATACCTTACGTTATAAATATCATTCTACAATTTCGCGCGAGCTTGAAGTCTTGAATGGATAAGCGGATCAAGGATGGTGAATTTTGATTCGCTAGTAATAAAGGAGGACGTCTGCGAAGACAGGTCAAAATATTCAATAGCGTGTGTTGTTGTCTTTTTTAAACCGATTTTCGAACACATTTTTTAAAAAAACCTGTTCACTCGGGTTTTTCGGGTTTTTTGGTCGGTTTTCGGTTTTTTGTAGAAACCGCCTCACACTAGGGAGAACTTTTATTCGTGGGAAGGCACTGGGAGAAGAAATGCAAAGTTACTACAGGGAGTTACTAATAAGTAAAATAACTTACAAGTTCCACGCTACATTCTTTCATCGTGACGTCATAAAACATGAAAGTTTCTACTCGCTTTTGACTGTCTTTTCAACTTCCGGAAAAGACACTCTACTGATTTCGGTAATATATCAGATAAAGATCGGCTAGTACTATAAGTACGTAATGCACGGTACCATGCCAAAGTTGCATTAACTCTTTTTTATACAATCTTAAAGGGTTTGTGGATGAAAATTTCGAATGTATTCAAAATTATATTTTATAAATTTAGTTAGACCTAACTCTGGCAGGAATACAACCATACTCCATAGGGAATCTGGCGGATTGCAGCACTACAGTCTTTCCAACACGAGCATCAACACATATACGAGGGCCATATATGAGACCAATAATTTCAGGGACCACGGAGCATGCATTTGCATGATTGAAGAAGGGGGAGGTTAGTCTTCATGGGCCGGTTAACGTGCATGTTCAAATGGCGGTTAGCTTAATCTTGGCCTTCTTCAGCAGGGTTAACGTGAAATTTAAAGCATACTTCCCAGCAGCTTGTTTATAAACGTGGAAATTGTTTTCA